AATCTCGGCTCACTGCAACCTCCGCCTCCTGGGTTCAAGCGATTCTTCTGCCTCAGCCTCCCAAGTAGCTGGGATTACAGGTGTGCGCCACCATGCCTGGCTAATTTTTTTGTATTTTTAGTAGAGACAGGGTTTCACCATATTGGCCAGGCTGGTCTCAAACTCCCAACCTTGTGATCCACCCACTTCGACCTCCCAAGGTGCTGGGATTACAGGCGTGAGCCACCGTGCCCAGCCCCACCTGGAGTTAATTTAAAAGTCAGGCCCAGCTTGTCCAAACCTGCTCCTCCTCCACAGTCTACTGACTCAGTGAGTGGTAGCATCATCCACTTCGCTGCACAAGCCACACAAGTGGCATACCTGACACTCCTTCTCCCTTACCTTCCACCTCCCAAGTCCAGTCCAGCACAAAGCGCTGTTGATTGTGCCTCCCAAATCTCCCTGGAACTTGTCCTCTCTGTCTCCGTCGCCCTCCTGGCACACGCTGCCTCCATCTTGCCTGGACTCCTGCAGTGGTCTCCCAGCTGGTCACCCAGATCTGCCTCTGCTCCTCTCTGGGTTGTTTTCAGCCCTGCAACCACAGTTATCTTTAAAGCACATAAATCTGACCCTAATCCTTCATTTCAAATCCAGCAGTGGCTTTTCATTACCCTTAGAATACAGAACAAAATCCTTCTGGCCAAGGTTGGCCCCCACATACCTCTCCAGCACCCTCCCTCAACTGATTGCTCTCCTCTGTGACCACTGGCCTTCTTTCAGATTTGCCCAGTGGGCCACAGTACTTCCTGCCATGTGGCCTTCAGGGCATGCTGTTCCCTCACCTGAAACAATGTTCCCTGCTGTCTGTGCCTTGTTAACTCCTGCTTGCCCTTCAGCAGTCTTTCCTGACTTCCCCAACTAGGTCAAATCCCCTACTGATAATCTCAGAGCACATGAATCTCTTCTTTGTAGCACTTATTACGTGTGTAATTTTACATGTATTTGTGTGTAATTTTACATATCTTTTTATCCCTGCCCCTCCCACTAAACTATAAGTTGCACATGGGCAAATTCTTGGAACACAGGGCTCAATATTGGTTGAAAGAAAGAATTGTATCAAATATCTGACAGACTAACAGATTCTATGTAGTTACAGAACTAGAACTAGGATTAATAAGTGAAAGTTACAATAATGATGATAATATATTACTGAGCATCCACTATAC